CATAGCTTTCTACAGATTTTTTTTAATTACTGTGGAAATGTGTACTCAGTTCTTATCCACAAGTTTTTAAAGGGCATCAAAAAGTTTAAGCTGCACAACTCTCACAAGAACAAAACTGTGTCAGATTTTATACATGAGAATTCTTAACTGTTCAAAATACACATAGGAAAATAGTTCATTACCTTTGATGTATTTTTCTTGATTGGCACATGCTTTTGTGAATATTGCTAAGTGTATCTGGATCATTTTTTCCAATTTGAAAAGACAACAATTAGCTAAATAGTCTAATTGGTAGGGATGTTTGGGGAGTAGACAAAGGATTTAGAGACGGATAACTAGCCTTCCTTTGGGATTTTGGTCCTTTATTGATGCGATTATATAAAACAGTTTTTTGTTTGTAGGTTATCTTAGAGATTATTGCTTGACCTTCAGATTGAGAAGATTCTTTGTTTGGCGGCGGATTTCCACATTTGCTCTTTAAGCAGTTTTTCACCCTAAGCTTGAGCCCTTTGACCCAGGAAAGGAATTTTTTTTTTTTTTTTTGAGTGACAACCTTTATTGTTTCTTCCCAGTGTCTCTTCTCTTGATTCTGCTTATCAATATCCAAAAGAATTCCTGTTTTAAAGAAAAGATATTTGCATATAAATCATAGGCAGCTGGGGCATTTCTGTTCAGCTACAGTGAACAGCATACCAATCTTTGCCTTAGAGGGAGGTGACATTTCAACAGAACTCAATTCTAGAGTCTACACTAAAATGTCATCAGGTAACCATTGGAAGACAGTTTTTGCTAGCTACCTGCTGTCCATCTTATCTTCTGTTATTTCTACTTCCTTACTACAGTGCCACTTTTAAGGGCCGAACCAAAACGGTATCTTTTCCATGAAACTTATCCTTGTCAGGGAACAGTGGTGGGGATGGTGGTGGTATAGTTCTAACAAGAGTAATTGGGGAAGGCCTCACTTGGAAAGAAGTAAGGATGCTGACCATGTAGATAGCCTGGGTAGGGTGTTGCAAGCTGAGGGAATAGCAAGTTTAA